GCCGCCGCGCTGCTCCCACTGCAGCGTCTGCGACAACTGTGTGGAGGTGAGGAACTGCCGGGTCTCGATGCCTCTTCGTTCCCACGCGGAGTTTAATACCTGGGGCAGGCAGGAAGCCCTGGCAGCGGAGCCCTTCACTGTGTCTTCTCCCCACCGACAGGAATTTGACCATCACTGCCCCTGGGTCAACAACTGCATCGGGCGGCGCAATTACCGTTACTTCTTCCTCTTCTTGCTGTCGCTCACCACGCACATCATGGGGGTGTTTGGCTTCGGCCTGCTCTACGTTCTCTACCAGGTGGAGGAGCTCTCTGGCGTCCGCATGGCGGTCACGTATCCTCTGCGAGGCTGCCGGAGTGGGGCCCGGGGGGTGGGCGTCGGTGGGGCTGGGGACAGCGTGCTCTGGAGCAGGGCTGCGGCTCTTCCTTAGCTATCTGCTGATAGTATGGTGGTGATGTGCGTGGCCGGCTTGTTCTTCATTCCCGTCGCTGGCCTTACGGGGTTCCACGTGGTGCTCGTGGCGAGGGGCCGTACTACCAACGAACAGGTATGCCTGTGGGGGTGCTGCAGGGCTGCTGGCCCTGTCGGGCCCCCACGTTTGGGGCTCCCCAGGACAGGCATGGACAGGCTGGGTTGAGGCGAGGGCAGGCCACTGAGGTGGGTGGGGGCTAGAGCACAAGACGCCTGTGAGGGGAGGCCGCAAGCACCTTGTCTGTGCAGCCTGGAGACGGGGGATCTTCCTGCTGCTGTTAGGGGTGGCTGCGGGAGGACGGAGCTGGGCGGAGGCTCTTCTCGGGAGGGCAGGAGGTGACGGGCATAACTTGAACCAAGGCAGCTTCCAGTTAGACGATGGGGAGAGACTCTTCCCCTTCAAGGATAGTTCAGTCCTGGAACAGGGACCTGGAAAAAGGGGAGTATCTCCAAGTATCTCTGACCTTGGAGATTGTCATGAGTGAGCTGGACAGACCCTGAGCAGCCTGACCTGGCTGGCTGGGCTGGAGACCTCCTCAGGTCCCTGCCCACCCTGGTACGCTGCGATGCTCCTCATCCCGCAGGTGACGGGCAAGTTCCGTGGTGGTGTCAACCCCTTCACCAACGGTTGCTGTAAGAATGTCAGCCGGGTCCTCTGCAGCTCCCCGGCCCCCAGGTGAGCCTGGCACAGCGTGGCGGTGCCCCCCAGCCCTGCAATGCCCGGGCAAACTGCCCCATCCCGAGCTCCAGGCCTTGACCTTCCTCCCGTCCCTCTCCCTAGGTACCTCGGGCGCCCAAAGGCTGAGCAGACGGTGCTGGTGCGACCCCCCTTCTTGCGGCCCGAGGTGTCAGACGGTCAGATCACTGTCAAGATCATGGACAACGGTATCCAGACAGAGCTGAAGAGGACGAAGGTAAGGAAGGTGGGGATTAGTGGTCCCTGCGTTGGGGCCCTCCATGGAGCCCAGGGGTGCAAGCCTGCATCCGTGAGTAAAGAACCGAGTGAGCCTTGTCACATTCCCCATCCCGCTCCGTGTCGTCTTGTTCTGTGTCCCCACGGGACGGAAACACGTCCCTCCCATGCGGCAGCGACCACATGAGGCTTTGCACCCGCCATTGCCCTCCCTGGCCTGCCCTTCCCCTCGCCGCATCCCTTGGAGGCCCCTTCCTCAGCACGTCCCAGCACCGGAGGCACGTGCCGCTGTTGAGCGCTCAGTATGTCGGACGGCCCGGGAGGCAGCGAGAGTCCCCTTAGTGCCGCCGCCCGCTCCCTGCCCACTGAGGGGAGGGCCGAGGCCCCGGCACCCCTCTGATCCCCCCCTGCGCTTTGTCTCTGCAGTCCAAAGGAAGCCTGGAGGTGACGGAGAGCCAGTCTGCCGACGCCGAGCCGCCCCCCCCACCTAAGCCAGACCTCAGCCGCTACACGGGCCTGAGGACACACTTAACCCTGGCCACCACCGAGGGTAAGGAAGGCAGGCAGGGTGCCGGGCAGGCGCTGGGAGGGGAGGCCAGGGGCGG